GGTCTCATCTGCATTTTCGTCCGTCCATGTTTTTCTGAGTATGGCCAAAGGTCCAGATATGGGCCTCCCAAAAACCAACGTTGCTGGCGGAAAGCCGGTGGAAGCATTAGGGACTTCGCGATAAGCGAATAGTGCTGCAGCCACGTATTCATCCCACTTCTCTGGTTTCTCTTGGGATAACCTCCTCAGTAGTGAAATCAACGTCCCGTTAAATCGCTCATTTTGGCCATTCGCTTGGGGTCGATATGGACTAGTGCATATATGATGAGATTTAAGAATTTGAAACACCTCCTCCATTAATTTCCCCTTGAACTGCGATCCGTTGTCAGTCAAGATTTGTTCGGGAAAACCTACACGAGTGAAGATGCCAATCAGAGCTTCAGCCACGCTCTGACTATCTATCTTACGAAGCGGTATAGCCTCACCCCAGGCACTGCAACTATCTACGAAGGTTAAGATATAGGCATTATTCTTTCTCGTGAGGGGAAGAGGTCCCACCAAGTCGACAGCCACTCTCTCGAAGGGAGTGGACATTATTGGAGTTTCTCCCAGTCGGACTGGTGCAATCTTGCCTTTCGGGGCGACTCTTTGGCACTCCGGACAAGATTTGACAAAACGTATTATGTCAGCTGTCATACCCGGCCAAAAGTAATGGCAGGAAATACGTTGAGTCGTGGCATTTATTCCCATATGGGCACTATACGCGATCGTGTGACCCATTTGGAGAATTTGTTGCCGGTATGGTCGAGGCATGACCAACTGACTATGCTCAGTATATTTGTCACCCCCAATGCGGAAAAGCAACTTACCTTTCATAAAGTAATCATTTCTTTTCGGCAGAGTGTGACTGACAGGTAACTTTTTGAAACAAGCTCTAAGAGTGGGGTCAGTCTCTTGGGCTACCTTGATCTCGTCAGGTAAGGGATTTACGTGACTTTGATCTTCCGTGGCACTATTATGTTGCGCACGGGTGGTCATCGCCGCAAGCTGCTCTGAAGGTGTAGGGGCATTCGCTAAATACACATAACGAGCTCCTAAAATAAGAGGGAACGTACTCCGTTTCAAAACGGCCGCCTCAATCACCCCAGTAACGTATCTAGACTTGACCTCTATCCTAGCTACCGGCAAGTTCATGGGTTGAGCATCAAGAGTTGCACATCTGAGCTCTATAAATTTACCTGTATACTGATCAGCTCTAACGATTTCAGGGGAACAGACCGCGGAGTAGAACAACCCCGAATCGTATAGACAAGAAATTCTCTTTTTATTAGCCCAGACCTTCTCTACCACAGGTGGCCTATTGGAACGGTTATATAATTTCTCTGCGGCAGACGAACCCACAGTCGTCAACAAAGCTGACAATTGAGTCCCCCCTGCTGACTTCACCTTACAATCATTAGTGTGGTGGGAATTATTTCTGCCATTCCTACAGTAGGGTTTTCTAGAACTATTGTACAACTGTTTCTGTTGCGAACTGCTAAATTTAGAAGGATTCTGGTGATTTACATGGGATGGGCTCTTTTTGGGGGAACCTGGAGTTGGAGTTTTCTGACCGTTCTGACTATTCCTTTTATGATTATTATGGGGCTTGGCTTTCCCCGAAGTATCATCCTTATGGGCTAACTCGTACCGTTCGGCATGAACCAAAATGTCAGTCAATTTTTCTGCACCGTTCTCGGTGAGAAAAGTTTGCATTGACTTCGGTAGAGTGACCTTTAATTGTTCGGTTAAGAACAATTCTTGCAGATCTTCGAAGGAAGCTTCATAGCCAGCCATTTCACGCCATTTACCAAGATAACTTTTTAATCTATCTGCAAACTGCGGATAAGTTTCTCCAATCATTTTCCTTTCATTCCTTAACTTATGCCTATAACTAGCAGCATTCAACTCGAACCTTTTCAATAAAGCCTAGCACAGGGCTTCAAAGTCAGTATCGGAGCCAGAGGGCATCCGCTGAAAAATTTCATATGCCTCTCCTCTCAATCCCTGTGCCAGTTTTAAAGTATATCTATCTTTCTCAAGATTATATATTGTAGCAAGTTTAACAAACTTATCAATATACTGTTCAATCGTTTCCAACTTCGCATCAAAGGCAGGCATTGGAAAATTCATGGCAGGTGTCGAGATGCAGTGAGTAGACACAGTCTCCATTTCTGAAGACTGAGATCTCGAAATCTGGCTATCTCTTTGTGCCTGAATTTCCAGCTCCTTCATCTTTATCTCGGCTTCAATTTTGAGTCTTTCGGATTCCATGAGTCTCTCGGATTCAATCCTGAGTCTCTCAGTTTCCTGAAGTCTCTTGGATTCAATCCTGAGCCTCTCGGATTCCTTTTCAGCCTCAATTCTGAGCTGTTCAGACTCACGAGCCTCCATTCTCATTTCTCTTTCTGTGGTCTTAATCCAATCGGTCAACTCCCTTCCTTCCAGTCCCATCTGGACAGCCATTTCTTTCAGCTCTTGAATAGAAATTCTGGACTGCGCCATGTTGAGCTGTAAAGATACTTAAAAGAAGATCCAACAAATATGCAACAATTTACGATAATTGTAAATGTTAGACACAAAACGCCAGTGGTGATGCAACCAAAACAACTATACACAAGCCAGAAGAACAATTGTCACTACGTCAGAAAGACAATCCTCCTATCACTAGGACTAATAAAATCCTACAATGTGAAAACAGGAAGAACCGCTTGTCAAAGACTACTGAAACAACCTCTTATTTCTTCCCAAGAAGAGTGTAAGGAATGTATTCAAAGTAGTCACTAATTCTACCAGACAGCTTATCACTATGACAACCTGCTGTTCAAGTGTCCAGCACAACTACTGAACACTCTAATTCACTGTTGACAAATTACAATTACAATAAACAACGATTCCGGACATGAGACCACATTTTACGATAATGACTGTCGTATGGCAGTTTTGTCGCGCACCTTTACTAACGGAATATTTTCACAAATCCCTCAGGTGCTCTGAGACAGGAGTGTTTTGAATGGTGGCTCTCGTTTGTCTAGAGGCCTAACCCTCGGTTCAAACTTTCCATTCAACCTGTCTCAGGGATGAGGTGACACGAGCTCTGACTCCACAGGGTTATTATGAACACTTGGGTACCTCTCGGCCAGACGTCCTCACCACTGTTTTGCCCCCAGACTGGAAACAATGTAAACCCAGTCGAACAAGTAATCAACAGTGAATTTGACAAGACAGGACTACCTTTCTGAAAAAGACAATGAATTTCAATAAAACGAAACTTTTCTAATAACCAGAAGACTGATGAACTAAAACATTAATGTAATGAATTCACCATAACAAGGTTGACTAAAAGTAGCGTGAAGAATTCAAAAGGAAGATTCAAATCTTTGAAAATCTAACACTAGAGAAAGAGTCTTTCTACATAGACACATCAACTTCCTGATCATCATGGCGGAGGTGGAGAACTGATTACAAAGGCCCATTTGGAGTCGAGCCATTTTAGGAATGTCACTTCGACTTATCTGATTAGATCTCGCAGCTCCTCAGGATGCCGGAATGGAGTTTCACACTGCCGTACTTTACTGCACGACTTCACAGGAACGAAGCAGCTTCTCAGGATGCCGGAATGGAGTTTCACACTGCCGTACTTCACAGTACGACTTCACAGGAATGAAGCAGCTTCTAGCATTGATCAAGGACAATCAACTCGAAATCGGAAGACGTCGACTCAAGTATCGTCCACACATTCAGCACAGCAATTCACCACACGTCAATCGCTTATTGGGTGGTGGTAGGTGAACCATACAGCTAGACACGGACGCTTGTTGGATCCTCAGAAATCCCATGATAAATGAAAAGAGAATAAAGAATCTTGTCTTTTAACGGTCAATTGGCAACACACAAGGAAAGCGACTGCCTCAAAAACCGGACCATAGAGAAGTGACGCATACAAATACGTTCCCCAACTACAGCAGTTGGCGTAAGAATCCTGCTCATGTATGCAGTGCAGTGGTCAGACAATTTATTTAGAATAGGCGTAGAAAATGTGTCCTAACGTGTAATTCGACACTAAAAGCCTAAAAGAGTCAATATCATAGTGATTTATAGGGATTTTTCCTATCAGGACTCCCCCACAACAAACGAACTATATAACTATGGTTGGCCCATCCTAAATCATAGTTACAATGACGATTTTGGGGGTGTTCAGACTGTGGACCTGCCTACTGCGGTAGATGTGTGGATTCTGTCATGCGACACCTGGGACAAAGATTAAGGTAACTTCACGCACAGTTGAGTTTTGCAATGACTCAGTCCACTGTCTGCGTACAAAGCCCGCTTCGACCCGCCAGAACATGCTCATAAAATCACTCAGCACGCACACAGGAATAGCCTGTCAATAGATTGACGACTGATACCACACGAAAGCACGCAGTAAATGCCCATGCACATGTTCGTTCTTTGTACAACGGACCCATCTTTGTAGATCAGTACATCCGCCTCATCGGAATTGTCACACATTAGTGTTTGGATCTCTGCATTGACATAAACTGGATTCTGTCCCCTACAGCTCCTATCAGGCATAAACGTTTTTCATACTGGTTGCTTTGGAACTCATGACCATTTTTGTCCTTGCATGATGATTTTCTTCTCAAGTGCACGCAACACCGAAGTTCTGGAACAAGGTGGATGAACAAACAGAACTTTCTGCTGGAGTTTAAACCGGTCAACGCGAAGAAGAAGAAGAAGAAGAAGAAGAAGAATATTAATAATAATAATAATAATAATAATAATAATAATAAGAAGAAGAAGAAGAAGAAGAAGAAGAAGAAGAAGAAGAAGAAGAAGAAGAAGAAGAAGAAGAAAAAGAAGAAGAAAGATACACAGTTCTATCAGTCTTCTTCCATTTTCAATTGTTTGCTCTAGAATGGACACCAAATGCTCCAGTGTGTGTCTCTATATCTGGTGTGTACAAGTCCCAACGACTAAAGACGACTGCTAAGAGAGGCCAGAGATAATCAAAGACCTACCTGTCAGTCACTGGGGGTGGCACACTGGTAGCCAGCAATGCAGCCACAGTGTCATTGTCGAAAGCTGTTATGTTACAATACTCTGTGGACCTGATTGCCGTTTCATATGGAGGTTTCACCACGGCAGCACCCACCCCAATCCAAAACATAAGAAGCAGGCTGCCAAACAGGCCACAGTAAGCTCCCTGGGGAAATTAAACAGACCACAGTATGCTCCCTGGGAAAATTAAACAGGCCACAGTAAGCTCCTTGGGAAAATTAAACAGGCCACAGTAAGCTCCTTGGGAAAATTAAACAGGCCACAGTAAGCTCCCTGGGAAAATTAAACAGGCCACAGTAAGCTCCCTGGGGAAATTAAACAGGCCACAGTAAGCTCCCTGGGGAAATTAAACAGACCACAGTAAGCTCCCATGGGAAATTAAACAGGCTACAGTAAGACTCCCTGGTGAAATTAAACAGGCCACAGTAAGCTCCCTGGGGAAATCAAACAGGCCACAGTAAGCTCCTTGGGAAAATTAAACAGGCCACAGTAAGCTCCCTGGGGAAATTAAACAGGCCACAGTAAGCTCCCTGGGGAAATTAAACAGACCACAGTATGCTCCCATGGGAAATTAAACAGGCTACAGTAAGACTCCCTGGGGAAATTAAACAGGCCACAGTAAGCTCCCTGGGGAAATCAAACAGGCCACAGTAAGCTCCCTGGGGAAATCAAACAGGCCACAGTGAGCTCCCTGGGGAAATCAAACAGGCCACAGTAAGCTCCCTGGGGAAATCAAACAGGCCACAGTGAGCTCCCTGGGGAAATCAAACAGGCCACAGTAAGCTCATTGGGAAAATAAGTACTATTATTGTTTAGTGGTACCAAAAGAACAGAAAAATCATGTGCATGTATCTGTCTGACTGTATGTATTAAGGTACATCTGTATGTATCACTTGTGTGCCCATATGTTTTTGAATGCATATATCATTCTGCATTCTGCAATACTATTCAGTCAGTTCTCGTTATTCCTAGTGGCACATGAGGCTTCAGAGAGGACTTTCCTTGCTTTCCTGTCCTGTGCAATCTTGTTCCATGTCAAAGATGCCGCACTTAAGTCACTTTCCATCGTTCGTCTCCATGTTGTTTTTGGGCGCCCCTGTTTTCTCTTTCCCTCTGGTGTCCATGTGAGAGCTGTTTTGGCAGGTATATCATGATTCATTCTCATAACGTGGCCAAGCCATTTCCACCTTCTCTTAGTAATCATACTGTCTAGAGTTTCTTGGTTTGTGAATTGAAGTAGTTTAGTATTTGAGATTGTATCTGGCCAGAAAATTTAGATAATTCTACGTAGACATGTGTGGTGGAAGATGGATAGCTTGTGTGCATCCTTTTTGGTTATTCTCCAACATTCTGCTCCATAAAGAAGAACTGGCAAAATGATGCTCTTGTAGAGTCGGAGTTTCGTTCCTCTGCAGTAACTGTTGGATTTCCAGATTTGCCTCATCCTTCCAAAAGCAGCTCTAGCTTTGTTCAGGCATGACTGTATGTCTTCCTCCAGTAGGGACACCACTCTGCCTACACAGTTTCATCTTATCCTCGAGATACGAAGATAGGTAATATAGTGTATTTGTTTAGTATTGTCTATTCTATGTATGTGCTGAAGAAGGCTCCATAGCCGCAACGTTCACGTTTTGTTTGTGTTTGTTATATGGTGAAGCTCGCAGACATAGTTTTCGTTCTGTTTTATATCTTGCCAAGATATGTGAAGTGTTCTACATTTTCAAGTGTTGGGTTATTTATGGTCACTGGTTGTTGGTTTGGACTGTTTGTTATGATCTTAGGTTGTTTTTGTATTTATTCTCAGTCCCACAATTTCTGCTGTGCTGTGTAGTCTGTTACTTTTCTCTTGTATATGTTCATGTTTATGTGATAGGAGTGCTATATCATCTGCAAAATCAAGGTCCTCAAGCATGGTGAATGGAGTCCATTGTATGCCTCCTAATGTCCTGTCTACTGTGTTCTTTAGTATCCAATCAAGGAGGAGAGATGACATAACACATACCTGTCTTACACCTGTCTTTACTGGGAAAGATGTATTGTCATTTTTTATACTGCAGGAAAAGTCTTTATAGAAGAGAGCAATTATGTTGACTTCTTTTTCTGGAATTCCATAATGTCGTAAAATTTTACAGAGACTGTCTCTATAGACGCTGTCAAAAGCTTTCTCAAAGTCCACAAATTAATTTATATACTTCTCTGCCATTCATTGCATTGTTCTAAAATGTTACGTAGGGTGAAGATGTGCTCAGTTGTTCCTCTGCCCTTTCTGAATCCTGCTTGTTCCACCCGTAGGCATTTATCAACTCATGATTTTACAAAATTTTTTGCTTGGTACTGAGAGTAGAGTATTTCCCCTCCAATTATTGCAGTCTGTTAAACCTCCTTTGTTGATGATTTGGACTATTGTTCCTTCAGTCCGGTCATCAGGCAACACCCCCCCCCCCCCACTCCCCCCAAATATCCTTGAACAATGGTTCTAGAATGCTGGCGATTGTTTTGGGATCTACTGTGATAAGTTCTGCTGGCAGTTCGTCTTTGCCTGGTACTTTGTTGTTTTTTAAAGTGTAGATAGCTTTAAGGATTTCTTGTTTGCTTGGTGGTTCAGTAATAATGTCAATGTCCTGAGAGGCTGGTTGAATATCTGGGGGATTAGTCCACTGCATGTCTTGTTTTTGTTCTGTGAGCAGTCTGCCTTGGTTATCTCTGATGGGTATGCTGTGATAATTATTTCTGTTTCCAAAAATGGTGTTTTCAACATCATCAACAAATTCCTAGTACACATTTATTCACCCATGTTTCAGTGTTTTTAATGCTACTAACTACTCCCTTCTACATAATCCCTCACTCATGTCTCAGTGTTTATAACGCTACCAACTTCTCCCTTCTACATAATCCCTCACCAATGTCTCCGTGTTTATAATGCTACCAACTTCTCCCTTCTACATAATCCCTCACCCATGTCTCAGTGTTTATAATGCTACCAACTTCTCCCTTCTACATAATCCCTCACCAATGTCTCAGTGTTTATAATGCTACCAACTACTCCCTTCTACATAATCCCTCACCCATGTCTCAGTGTTTATAATGCTAACAACTACTCCCTTCTAAAAATCCCTCACCCATGTCTCAGTGTTTTCAACACCATTTACCACTCCCTGTCACATATGCACTCATGTCTCAGTTTTTGCAACACCATCAACCACTCCCTGTCACATATGCACTCATGTCTAAGTTTTTGCAACACCATCAACCACTCCCTGTCACATATGCACCCATGTCTAAGTTTTTGCAACACCATCAACCACTCCCTGTCACATATGCACCCATGTCTCAGTTTTTACAACACCACTAACCACTCCCTGTCACATATGCACTCATGTCTCAGATTTTGCAACACTATCAACCACTCCCTGTCACATATGCACTCATGTCTCAGTTTTTGCAACACCATCAACCACTCCCTGTCACATATGCACTCATGTCTCAGTTTTTGCAACACTATCAACCACTCCCTGTCACATATGCACTCATGTCTCAGTTTTTGCAACACCACTAACCACTCCCTGTCACATATGCACTCATGTCTCAGTTTTTGCAACATTATCAACCACTCCCTGTCACATATGCACTCATGTCTCAGTTTTTGCAACACCACTAACCACTCCCTGTCACATATGCACTCATATCTCAGTTTTTGCAACACCATCAACCACTCCCTGTCACATATGCACTCATGTCTCAGTTTTTGCAACACCACTAACTACCGGTTGCTACAAAATCACAGACTCATGACTCAGTGTTTGCAACACCACTAACTACCGGTTGCTACAAAATCACAGACTCATGTCTAAGTGTTTGGATTGTCATCAACCACCCCTTATACATACTTACCCATTTATTGGCCCACGGAAAGAACATGCCCAACGAGAAGACTCCAAGCAGTGGTCCACCAATCATACCGAACAGTGAGAGCGCTGCCTGTGGAAGCATTGACACAGATATGGCTCACATCAACATGACAACAGCTCCAACTGTCAGGCAGTGGTTACAGTTATCAGACAGGTTATAAATCTCTCAGGCAGTGGTTACAGTTACCAGACAGGTTATAGATCTATCAGGCAGTGGTTACGGTTACCAGGCAGGTTATAGATCTGTCAGGCAGTGGTTACAGTTACCAGACAGGTTATAGATCTATCAGGCAGTGGTTACAGTTACCAGACAGGTTATAGATCTATCAGGCAGTGGTTACAGTTACCAGACAGGTTATTGATCTGTCAAGCAGTGGTTACAGTTACCAGACAGGTTATAAATCTATTAGGCAGTGGTTACAGTTACCAGACAGGTTATAGATCTATCAGGCAGTGGTTACAGTTACCAGACAGGTTATAGATCTATCAGGCAGTATGTATATAATTATCAGGCAGTGGTTACAGTTACCAGACAGGTTATAGATCTATCAGGCAGTGGTTACAGTTACCAGACAGGTTATAAATCTATTAGGCAGTGGTTACAGTTACCAGACAGGTTATTGATCTGTCAAGCAGTGGTTACGGTTACCAAACAGGTTATAGATCTGTTAGGCAGCGGTTACGGTTACCAGGCAGGTTATAAATTTATCAGGCAGCGGTTACGGTTACCAAACAGGTTATAGATCTGTCAGGCAGCTGTTACGGTTACCAAACAGGTTATAGATCTATCAGGCAGTTTGTATATAATTGTCAGGCAGCGGTTACGGTTCCCAGGCAGGTTATAGATCTATCAGGCAGCGGTTACAGTTACCAAACAGGTTATAGATCTATCAGGCAGTGGTTACGGTTACCAAACAGGTTATAGATCTATCAGGCAGTGGTTACAGTTACCAAACAGGTTATAGATATATCAGGCAGCGGTTACGGTTACCAAACAGGTTATATATCTATCAGGCAGCGGTTACGGTTACCAAACAGGTTATAGATCTATC